CCAGCCGAGCCGAGCCGAGCCGAGTTTTAGTAATTGCCATATGTTGTTTTTGTTGTTGTCTTGGGTCAGCACAAGCCATCGCTGACCTTGTGCTGACCCTTGATAGTCTTCCCATTCCCCTCAGTTCTGCGTTATCTTATTAATGCTTACTAATTGGATATCGTTGACCCGAGGGAAGAGGAGGATAATTGGCGGGATTCTTCCCGAGTGGGAAGAAGCCCAAATGATATGATCGATGGTTTTGGTTTCGCTGCGTATCAGTTGAAACTGAGTGGTGAGCTCAGCAGTCACCTCTGTGAAATAAAATTTTTGGGCTGATAACTCTCGTCCCGTCACCAACCGCTCATCCACTCAGTTTGCTATTGGTCCTTTTTCGCTTTGGCGCTACACGGTGCATCGGCCGGAAGAATCACACGCAGGTCTGAATTTCATGCGATGAAATTCTTGAGCGCTTGTTGTAATGCGCCAGACGACTCGTCTCAGCAGCCAGTCGTTCGAAAACGCCGTTCACGAACGAATTCATTATTGACATGGACTTTGATGAAATGCCTGTGTTAGTATGGACCTGCTTCAACACGCAGTACACCGAGTAAGACTCCTTCCGCACACGTCGTTTCTTGTCACTACTGCGAGCCTTGTGCGACTTCGAAGCTTCCTTTGCTCCCTTTGCTGATGGCTTCGGCGGCATCGTTGTCGTCGTCAACGTAGAACAAGGGCGATCCACGCTGCCATCCGACTCTCGCAAGTACCAAGCGACGACACAAAAGCTAGTACAACATTTGCCGTGAATCCCACTCCTGTACCAACGGCAGTGATTATTGTTACGGCAGAGTTTGGATTCAACTTGATGCCGGCTAATCCAGGGAAGCCGGTGAGTTCGATGGTCTTTAACCTCAAGATTACCATGATAATACCAGCAACCCAGGGACTGCAAAGAATGAGTGAGATAACACAAAGCACAGCAAGCGCGATGACACATACTGCTTGAAAAAGATTACTGCTCAAATGCAGGTACTGCTCCCAGAATGTGAATACAACTCCGGATGGGAAATTCGGCAGGCAGCAAATTTCTCGCAGACAGCCCGTATTTCCTTAATCATTTAGGTGATTGTCGGTGTGTCAGACAAATTGGTGAGATAAAATGGGATCTGGCTGTATTCAAGAAATACTCCAGAACAAATTTAAATTCGGAAAATGCAAGCATGATAATGTGAAGAAGTGTCGAAAAAGCACCATTGAATAAAGACGCGGGCGTAAAGTGAGAGGGCGTTCGTAGATTGTTTCTTTTACTCCTGATAACACTGTTTGCAACTCGGAATCGCTATGTTTTTGTAGACTGGCCGCGTGACAAAGAGAATTTTTGGTTATACCGATCAGACGTTCATAAGTCCACATTTCCAAGGGGCCAAGGTTGCAGTGAATTTCCACTCGATCATATGGCCATTACAAAGTTTTGGGTGCTTTCAAAGCCTTGACTGTTAGTACAAAATTGGACGTATTGTCGGAAACATAGTACGCGGTGTTCCGCGTCGTCTGATGAATCTGCGCAAGCAGTCAATGAAACTATTTGCTGAAAGGTTATCTTTATTGTTATTATTATTCTTATTATCATTGTTATTGCGACTGTTATTATTATTGTTATCATTATTATTACTGTTACTATTACTACAAATGATAATAAAAATCGTTACATCTAGTGGTACATCAGTTAATTCACTGGACTCAATGATTAAGTAAATCATAAGTCTGGTCTGGTTTCAAACCTGAAAGGCGAGCACGGAAGTCGATGCAATTTGCTCTCGTCATATTCAACCTGCATAATCAAGCACTGTTCTCCTAGAATTTCAGCTTGCTAGCTTTTGTAGCTTTGCAGTCGAAATGCACGAAAGCCTGGCGGACAGACAAGCACAGTCTCGCTACAGCGGGTATAAGCGATTGTAAAATGCGTAAAAAGAGGCATTATTTCGGTGGCAACTTTTTGGCCGAGAGACGCTATTCTACTACTCGAATTGCATCGTCATACTGTTAAATTGCCTCGGCGAGGAGAAAAGTTCGTTGAGTTCGATGATCTATGGCACGCAGTTTTTTTCCGTTCACTTGATTGATAGTGGCTCGTTAAAGTCAGTTATGGGTGAAAGGTTATTATCGGTGCAAATCAAACCACAACAATACCTGCAATTTTGCTTATTCTGAAACAAAATCGGCTTCAAAAACGCTATTAAAACGCCTTATTTGGAGGAGGTGGAGAGGAGGGGGAGGCTGAAGCCTGAATCTCACCAGTAGAAAAATATGCAAAAGGAGGACAATGTTCGTGCTCGATGAGGAACTGAAACAGTGAAAATTCACATAAACTGTTTTTTGCATTCAATCCGGACATTAGCGAGTAAGTTAATTAATTACCCGCACGATTTTTGGAGAGTTTTTCCTGCATTTTTACATATTCGTTAGTAACTGCTGTAAAAGAAACAAAGATTTTAAAACTGGAGCAAGTATTTTATTGGGATTGTGGAGAAGTAATTTCAAATGTGCATTGACAATCGACTCTTTGAGGAGGATTTATTCGAAACAGTGAATAGGTTTGCGTCAGGCCAATCTTATTTGCAATATCGCAAGGCTGTATTCTGTTACTGGGATAAATCCCATCTATACTTCAAACTACTGAAGACACAAGGAAGTTACTGGGATGGTAGCATACTGTCACTAGCACTGCCGGTTAATAGAATTGGGTGATGACCGCATTTCCCTATAGCAAGTGTTTTGTAAATTTGTGTGCATGTCGGAGGATCTATGGAAACCGAAATGTAGATATTTAATATGGACGCAAGCATCAATATGAATATAATGGCCTCTTGGCAAGATTATGCAGGCGAAAGGTATATGAAAATAATACAGCAATCAGTGATAAATGACTTGCACCAATTCATTTCGGTAAGTAAAGAAAACTGTTGGGGCCACTAAGCATAAAACGACGCTTGGGTAGTAATAAGAATGAGACAACGAATGATGAACGATGAAATAAAGAGTGGAATCTAAAAAAATACTGGCCATGAGAAAGAGTGGGATCTAAATTACATCCTGTGGTTGTTTTTAAAGAGTCCTAAATCTTTAGCACTGAGATGTGGGATTCATTACAGCTGATCGCCCCCAATTGTTCTCGCTCCATTGTCGTGGCCTAATTATCATCGATATCAGAAAGTGCTCGTTTGAAAACTTTTCCTTTTTGAAAAATGAAATTTTTAGAAAAAGGTCAGAATTTCGGTTCTGAGTATGGGCCCCGAAGTATTCTTGTTTACTTTTAATATTTTCGTTTTATTTTTAAATTTTCCCAATTTGATTTTACTATATTTTCTTCATGAGGAAGGTGGGAATTTGAATTTTTTCTTATTTCACTACATTTGCTTTTATGCTTCGCATAAGCTTCATTATTGAGCTTTTGACTGCATCAGTTAATATCATTAAAAAAAGAATAAATAGCAACACGCACCAGGCTAGCCGGTGCGATCATGCGTTTTGTGCAATTCGGCCCATCGAACGATTGCCTGTTAATGATTTTCACTTCCTTC